GCTGATGATGCTGGTGCTGCCCATACTGATGACGATGCTGATGACACCGATGAAGAAGATGCTGCTGCGGCTAATCATGATGGCGATAATGATGAGGAGCATGATGGAGAAGTAGGAGGAGAAGTGAGGGCAAGGAGGACGCGGGGCAGTGTTGACCCCAAAAAAGGACACACTACCAGAACCTGGTTCGATTTCACCGTGCACACCGGCTGCTCGAACACCACCGCTGGATACATCTTGCTGAAAGTGTCGGTTGAATGTGCCAACTTAGCATATGATTGAACTCGACGTGTGAAATTACCTCGGCAAAAGACCCACGCATATGCAGTTGTGAGTACCGCAGCTGTGAGTCTCGTCTTCGCTGGAGCTCCCCATGGGCCCATTGGGACCTCGGTGACGCTCCGTAGGGTGCCACGACCCGCGTGAGAGGTGCGCCGAAATATGCGTGACGCCCACATGCGACCGTTGCCACTGGGGCCTCAGGTGGAGCTCCCTGTGGGGCCACGCAGCGTGTGAGGGTATGCCGAATCGGGCGTGGCGCCCACATGTGAACGTGACCAGCGACTCGGGCCTTAGGTGGCGCCTCTACGGGGCCACGATGCGTGTCAAGGGTGTGGCCAAACGGGCGTGACACGCACACGCGATAGTAGCCGCCACTGGGGCCTTGGGTGGATCTCACTACGGGGGCACGACGCGTGTTAGGGGTGTGACGGAGCGTGAGGCGGGAACGCATGTGAACGCAGCCACTGGCGCCTTGGGTGGAGCCACCTCTGGGGCCACGACGCGCGTGCGGGATGTGCCGAAACGGGCGTGACGCCCACATGCGAACCTCGCCACTGGGGTCTTAGATGGAACACCCTATGGGGCCACGAAGCGTGTGAAGGGTGTGCCGAAACGGGAGCGACTTCCACATGCGAACGTCGTCACTGGTGCCTTGTGTAGTGCTCCCTCTGGGGCCACGACGCGTGTGCGGGGTGTGCCGAAAGGAGCGAGACGCGCACACGCGAACGCCGCCACTGGGGCATTCGGTGGCGCCCCCTGTGAAGCTACGACGCGTGTGAGGTGTTTGCCGAAAAGGGCGTGACGCCCACATGGGAACGTGCCCACTGGGGCCTTGGGTGGGGCTCCCCATGGGGCCACGAAGCGTGTGAGGGGTGTGAGGAGGTGTGCGGCGGGACCGCATGTAAACGCAGCCAGTGGGGCCTTGGGTGGAGCTCCCAATGAGGCCACGAAGCGTATGGGGGGAGCGCCGAAACGGGCGTGACGTCCACATGCGAACGTCGCCGCTGGGGCCTTAGGTGGAGCTCCCGAAGGGGGCACGAAGCCTGTGAGGGGTGTGCCGAACGGGGCGTGACGCCCACATGCGAACGTGGCCACTGAGGCCTTAGATGGAGCACCCTGTATGGCTTCGAAACCTGTGAATGTTATGCCGAAGCGGGCGTGACGCCCACATGCGAACGTCGCCACTGGGGCCTTGGGTGGAGCCCCCTGTGAAGCCATGACACGCGAGGGGTTTCCCGAACGGGGCGTGGCGCCCACCTGCAAACGTCGCCACCGGTGCCTGAGATGGAGCTTCCTAGGGGGCACGAAGCGTGTGAGCCGCTTGGACCTTGGGTGGGGCTCCCCATGGGGCCGCGGAGGGTGTGAGGAGTGTGCCGAAACGAGCGTGACGCCCACCTGCGAGCCCTGTCATTGCGGCCTTAGGTGGGGCTCCCCACGGGGCCACGAAGCGTGTGAGGAGTGGTCCGAAGTGGACACGTGGACGGCAGAGGGAGGGATGAGGAAGGGAGGAGGGGGGATGGGCAACGACGTGGAGCGCTGTCACTTAAAAACTGTGACCCGACAACGCAAGGTGGTTTGGAAACAGAAGTCTGCAACCGTACTGTGCAGCGGTTAGTGTGTGCGTGTGTGCGTGTGTGAATATGTGTGTGACGGGCCCTATGCTGGTTCGATACATCGGCGCTTAGAAAGTTTTAACCCGCTTCGTGCTTCAGCCAAAACGAGTCTTAGGCGGGAGCGCCATTCTGAATTCGAGCTGAAGAAGTGCCGACCTATATGTTCGAGCAAGTCCTGGACGGGAACGCAATTTCGAAATCGAACCAGGAAGGTGTCGAATTCCAGTTTTCAGGTAGTCCTGGGCGGGAGCGCCATCTCGAAACCGAACCCGAAAGGCTCCGAACTCTGTTTCGGAGGAAGTCCTGGGCAGGAGCGCCATTTTGAAATCGAACCAGACAGGTTTCGAAAACTAGTTTGGAGGAAGTCTTGGGCGGGAGCGCCGTCTCGAAATCGAGCCCGGAAGTGTCGAGTTCGCTCGAAATCGTGTTTTGGGGGAAGCCTCCAGCGAAGCCGTCGCTGCGAAGTGGCCACGCAGTTCGGCAGAGGCTTCGAAGGTGTGGCTCTCTCTCGAGGCTCCCTCCCCCAAAAAACTATCAGGGGCGGTGTTCACCCGAAACTTGCGCAGAACCATGCTTGAACAGAACGTGGTGCTGGGGCCCCGCGGCCCAACAGGTCCCTTCGACGTCTCCTCTCTCGTCGCGGGCGCACGGCCACTGACGCAGCGTTCTGCCGGGGCCCCGTCGCCGCACGGGAGGCGCGCTGCATGGTGGCCGCATTCTCGTGGCGGCGGAGGAGCTGCGCTTCCTGCGGAGAAAAAAAAACACTGCTCGACACACAGGGCCCAACGTGCGTGCACTGTTTCCTCCAGCCTCCTGCGCGCGTGGCCTTCCAAACGAAAAGTGAAGACGCGCATCAGCTCCTCGCACTGCTGCCAAGGGGAAGTGGAAGCGGGAGGAGGAGGAGGAGGAGGAGGAGGAGGAGGAGGAGGGGCAGGGGGAGGAGGAGGAGGAGGAGGAGGAGGAGGAGGAGGAGGAGGAGGGGAGGAGGAGGGGTTCGTGGACCCTCCCCCCCAAGCATTACAAGCACCGCCGCCCAGGCCCCATCTGGCACGGCGCGATGGCGGAGCATGCCCCGCGGCGCAGCGAGAGCGGAGGAGCAGCACCCCCAGAGGCTCGGGCAATTGCCACTTCCTCCTCCTCCTCCTCCTCCTCCTCCTCCTCCTCCTCCTCCCGCTTCCACTTCCCCTTGGCAGCAGTGCGAGCGCGGAACCCTGAGCCTGGCATGCGCATCATCGCTTTCACTGGCGAAACCAACGCCTCCACCTAAATCGGATGCGCGCAACTGCGCTCGTTCGCTCGTGTCTGCATGCCCTCCGTGCATTGAAATAACTATAAATTCGCGAATTAGCGTGGCGCCCAAAGACGAGGTGCAAGCCGCGGGGCGCACGTCTTCTACCCACGTCTCTCGCGCTCCTCCACCTTGCCCTCCCAATCATTCTCGGATACCCCATCCAATCCATCATCCAATTCGTATGGTCCGGCTCATGCTTATCCCCATGCACCTCCTCCTCACCCTTCGACTTTCACATGTCTTCGTCGTCCAACGCATCATCCTCCTATCCCCCTTCCCGCCTGCACGTGTATCTTCACATCCTTACCCTGCTCAGCCCTTCCCGCATGCACGTCTGCATTCCTTTCTTGAGTCAAAACAAAACAAGCCACCAGGACACCCGACTCATTTTAGAAAGGCCTCTCTCTCTCTACGTACACAGCCATGTCTGCGTCTGCAGCCGCATAGTAGTCTAAGTGCACATGCAGATGCACACCAGGGCAATGACACGCAAAGGGGGCAGGCAAGAAAAGCAAATCAGCTCGGCCCTTGCTGCTCTTCCAGGATGGGAGGCTCCTCTCATCTCCCCCCTGAGACGCCGAACGATCGCTCCAACACGCTCAAGATGGATCCCAGACGGCCCAGGAGGCCTCCAAGACGCCCCAAGAGGCCTCCCAAGAGGGTCCGAAGAGGCCAACCTCATGTATGTGTCTAAGGTTTTTGAAGGTTTGTAGCTTTCTCGCCTGTTCGGCTTCCCGATTCTCCAAAGCGGCATAAGAGGCCCCCAAGACCACCCCAGAACGGCTAAAGAAGACTCCAAGACAGCCACAAGACAGCCTAAGTGCGCCCTAAGGCAGCCCAAGAGGCGCCCAAGATGGCCCAAGACGGCCCCAACATGGGCTCAAGAGAGGGGGCACGAACGGACAATCCAGTGCGATCGATAAATATAGTTTGAGATCGATGGATAGATCGTGACATCGACCAATTGATAATTGGACTGGTCGATCTGCAGATGTAAGGTCGACATAAATATAAATATTGAGGTCAATCGAACTACAATGATAGAGGTCGATACGTCGTGATCTCGATATTTAGACAGACCTGTAGAGGTCATTCGATGGAGACGGTTGGCCCGATGGTTGTCTCGTCATCAAATTCCCCCCGACCTCCTCATCGGCCTTTTGACCAGTCTTATACATATATTCACACATCTGCATACGTAGATGTGCGTGTGTACCCTCTATATGTCCCTCCCTTGCTGTGTTGTTATGTTGTCGTATGTTTGATGTTGCGGATTCCTCTTTCTCTCTCTCTCTCTCTCTCACTCACTCTCTCTCTCTTCCCTCTCCTAATGCCGCACCAAACAGACCACCAATGATCCCCCCTGCCTGGGTGTCCTGTTTGTCCGTGCTCGTGCTTTTAGCTCATCGACCACCTACTTGCTGATCCTCATCGTGCATCTCCTCTTCCTCCACCCTCCGCTCCGCCTCCTGTCTCACGCCCGCCCCCCTCCCCTTTCCCTCCCCTCCCAAACTCTCCCTCCCCGCGCCCCCCTTCTCCTCCCCCCCCCTCACTCCCCCTCGTTCTGTTCGTCGGGCCGGGCGAAAGGGGGGGATAGCAATGGGGGGGGTTGAGAATCAGCTCACGTGGCTGATTTTCCCGGCGCCTCCCGGCGTGAGAGGCGGCCATGTATCGAGGAGTGGGCCCCTCGGGGGGGCTGCAACCAGCTGCACGCAGCAGATCTCGTACCCGCCCTTTCCCTGTCCCCCCCTTTCGTCTGGCGCGAGCTCGTCTCTCGTCCCCTCCACGCCGCTCCCTGCTGCAGTCCGCCGAGCTCACTGGTAGAGCAGCAGACCTGCGAGCGGGTCCACGCTGCTGGCCGCCAGCAGCCTCTCGAGGCCCTGGACCTACAGGCGCGCGGGGCTAGGCCGGCCGCCGTGGGCCAGTCTCCCCACCCCCTTACAGTCAAGTCGGGCCTGTCCTCCTACAGGGGGATTTTGGAAGAAAAATGAAACATAGTCAAACAATACACCAAAATTGACAAACAATACTCCAAAAAAAGTCCCCAGACTATCTGTTGACTATTTTTGAATATCCCTCCTGTAGAGGGACAGGCCCGACTTAACCCTACAGTCGGACTTGATTGGACAGGACACGCGAGAGGACAAAAGACCCTTCCGGGGGCCACATCGCCACAGGAATGTACGAAGCACGGGTCGCGAGACACAGGACACAAGGGTACCCTTGATCTGGCAGGGTCGACCTACTAATCTGGGCCGCCTGTACCCAGCAGGACCACACCCTCCCAGGAGGGTCCTGAGGAGGATGGGACAGGACAATGCAGTCGCACCGGGGCTCCAGGCTCCATTCATCGAGAGGCTTCTTGTCCATCGAGAAGGCTCTGCGCGCTGATTGAGCAGCTGGGACCTGCTCGCAGACGCAGGCGGCCCGCCGGGAACCACGTCCGCGCCCACCTCGCCTGTTGCCCCCACTTACCCCGCCTGGATTCTCATCTCTCTTCTCTCGCGCCTGTTCGCGGAGTGTCAGCTCCGGGTGGAGAGAGGACGCGTGCACAGATCACATTCCCCCGTTCTCCATTCCTTCTGTGCTCCCTCATCGCCGCCCTCTTCCCACTCCCAATAGCACGTTCGGCCAACCAACGCTGGCATGCTCCCCACCCTGCCCTGCCAGGGGCCGGGGGAGGGGGAGGTGCGGCGAAAGGGAGGAAGGGGTCCCGGGTCCCCCCTATCCCCCCAGGTGGTTGAGGTGTGAGGCCCTCTGTGAGGCCCCCTCGCCAGAACATAATGTACTGTGTGCTCGTGTTGTCCGTGGCGTGCTTGCGAGGCTGTGCGCGTTGTGGATACTTCTGGAGCGCCGGCAACTCAAAGCTACTGCTATGGCTTCCTTTGTTGCTAAGTCCTCAGCGTCACTATATCCGAACACTAGATCCATAGGGCGCGCGCGAGCTCAACTCCTGCCTGTCGTGTCGCCTCCCGACCTGAAGGCCGGTCTTTCGCCGCCACTGACCCGCTGGGTGATTTCGCCCAGGGTGTGTGGCCGCGGCCTGAGCCAACGTGGATCGAGTGGGGGCGGTTCGGGTCAAAGCTGCTGCGGAGGAAAACGAAAAGGAGGAGGATGCGGATGGGGAAGGGAGAGGATGAAGGGGGAAGGGGAGGAGGGCGCAGGAGAAGACGAAGGAGAAGGGGGGGAAGGAGAGGACGACGATGAGGTGTTACGAGCCCTGCTGCCCTGCCCGACACAGAAAACGGCCTGGCAGGTAACCGGCCTGAGTTTCAGCCCGTGGGATCCACTTTAGTCCTGCGGATCCCTTGCAAGTGGGCCTGGCGCGGGAAACATCTCCTCTCTCCGTCCTTTGCCTCTTCCTCCTTTTCCTCGTTCTCTGGCTCCTCGTCCTCCTCTGTCCTTCCCACCTTTCCCCCTCATCTGCCCCATCAGTTTCTCCCTCCTCCTGCTGCTCTTCCTCCTCATGCTCCCTGTCTTCTCTCCACCACCGCCGCCGCTGCCCCAGTCTCCACCTCACCCCCGCCTTCCTTCCCCCGCTCTGGCCTCCCTCTCTGCCCCCCCCCCAAATATTGCTGTAAACAATTAGGAGAGGAGGGAGGAAGACGAACCAACATAAACATCTTCACGTTGTGAAAACAGCACGGCTGGCCGGACGCCGGCTGAAGACGCTTTCAAAATGAGGCAGGCCACGAGGGAGAAGCAAAGGCCTCCGCCTCTCCGGCTCCGCCGCCGCCTCCTCGTCCTCCTCCTTCTCTCCTCCTCGTCCGCTCCCCCCTCGTAAGCCCACCTCCGCCTCCTCCTTGTTGAGATCGCGGTCGGCCCAATACAGGTTGACTGAGTCCCACTACGCCTACTGCGCCAGTCTAAAATCCTTTTCTGATTACATGTGTCAAGTGTGATCCGCGCAGGCGTCGAAGTGCCTAGGGGGCTGCGGCGGTGGCGGCTGGGCGGGACGCGCGAATCAGAATAGATGGGGCCCTCATCGTTTGTGGAGGATGGCGCCCAACACGAAACCACACCCAGGCCACATCCAGGCCTGTAGGCAGGAACCCATTTTCTAGCCCCCGCTCACACATGTTGTAGCCTGAGCATTTGACCGACTGGAGAACTGTAATTTGGCCGTCAAGTCCTCCACAAAAGATACCAGGTGCGGTTTCAGGATAACCAAACATTTTACTAGCGGACCCCGACACTTCATATGTCATATGATGTATGCACGAAGCTGTCTCGGACCGTCTTCAACGGACACCGCAAAGAGTGAATAGCCTGGAGCTTCCTCACAAGCATCATGTTGGGATCTGTCAGCTTTGTACTGCTGGCCCGACGGCCCGAAGGTAGATCGCCGAAAGTCTTTAAACTATGATGTAAGACTTGCGCACGCTTGCAGAACACAGTGTGCTTCAATTGCCCCCCCCCCCCCGAACTGGTAAATCGCTTGGCTGGTCCGAGACAGATATCACTTCTTAGGACTTGTGCATGCGCAGGCTTTGGATTCCTGTTAGTGGGCTCAGACATACACACACACATCGCTTGGCATTAATAATGTTATCGGATATGGTAGAAAAGACACCATAAACATCGTTTGCACAGGCCTTCAGAAACGAAGTTGATTGAGCATGCATGAAGTATTATCCGGTTGCCAGCACAAGGCGTCGACTTGTGTCGAGCAACGTGCTTCCATGTTTCGGAATTACCGCAGCTGCGTGGCACTGTGCATCGCACGATGGTTTGAACTTTCAAAACGCTGGTGTGTCATCGCGGCAGGTGTGCCATGCCGATTATATCGCCCACAAGGGGGTCAACACGCATCCTAGTAAGACACTCGCCCAAGATCTTCGTAAGGCACGGCAGCCTGGGTGCATCGTCACTGTGCGCTTGCTGGGCAGACGTGCACGCCACCGTTCGGCGCGCTCATCCCTTTTCACGACTTGCATTCGCCGATGATAAAGAGCCAACGACGTCAAGTGGAAAGCGCGCGCACAAGCACGCAGGTGTGATCGCACAGCTGTGACCATCACGGGATCCCTGTGCGGAGGGCCTTCCGTGCGAGTACAAGAGGAAGCTTCTAGGGCCCAAGCTGATCTTCCGGGAGCGGGAACCCGCCACGCCAAACGCACAGAACCGGCGGTGGCGCCGAGCAGCCGATCTGGCGGTGTAGAGCAGCCGTTTTCTGTGCCCGCTGCAGCCGCTGCCGCAGGCAGGGCGGGCCACTCGGGGGGGCCGCCAGCGTGCCCCGCACGCCGCCGCTGGTGGCGCCGCTTCCAAATTTCGGTGTGCCAGTGCCGTCAGCGGCGGTGGAGCAGCCCGCCTGATCGTGGAGGTGAACAGCCGGTCTTGATGTCTCTTGGAGTCCCTAGGCGTATCTGGAAGTCCGCCGGCCCCTCGTGGGTCTCTAGGCGTGTGAAATGATCCCCCCCCCACCCCCCCACCCCCAGGGACTCCAAACTGGCAATTTGACCCCCCCTGGCCGCCCCCGACCGAACGCGCCACGGGGGAGCGGAGGGCTCCAAAACTAGCCAAGAAGACCCAAAAAGCTCGCCAGACGGTCCCAGGGGGCCACGATTCGCCGAAATGTCGCCCCTGGACGCCCACGATGGCCTCCAGGCGGCCTCCGAAGCTGCCAAGACGCCCCAAAAGGCCCTCAAGATGCGCCCCAAGAGGGTCCCAAGAAACAAAAGTCGCCCGATTCCCCTTCGGAAATTAAGGATTTTTCGCATGCTCGCCTATCCGGTGATCACAACGTCCCAGACGGGCAAAGAAACCTTCATCGTCGCCCCCAGACGGTCAAAGGGGCCCCCAAGAAGGGTCGGAGAGGGTCCAACAACAGCCCACGAAGCCCCCAAGACAACCCAAGAGGGCCCCCAAACGGCTCCAAGACGGAGTCCAGAGGGCACTTTTTCGAGCCTTCGGCCCCAAGACGCCCCCAGCCTGCCCCAAGAACACCCCAAGAGACCCTGAGGGATCCCCAAGAGAACCTCAAAGGCCTCCAAGAAGTCCCCAGGAAGCCCCCAAGAGGCCCCAAAACTTGGCCCAACATGCCTCGAGGAGGCCGGAGATGGCCTGCAGACAGGCCAAGATGCCACCACAAGGCGACAAAAGAGCACCAAGAGGTACGATAACAGCAACGAAGCAACAGGAAAGATGTCGAGCGCCGTGTCATGATTCGGACAAGCCTTGTGAAATGCAATCCTGGAGGCACAATAGTTTATATATGGGTCGGCGGGTGTGGCGCAAGCCTATAGAATCCACGTCCAGAAGTGACGTGCTGAGCGGCAGCGTTTTCTGCGGAGGCGATAACGCAACGTACCCGATGTATCCAATTGTTGTATAATTGCTACATATTGTATTGTGTGACACTACTATCTCCCCCCCGAACCCGCCCCAGGGGTCACGCCACATCCGGTGGACCCCTTCTGGGCCTGAACACCTACCAAAACCTATGTGAAATCTATGATTTCGGCTTCTTGGGCCTCGTGGGGGCCACGAGGGCGTCAGGACGGCTCAAGATGGTCTCTGCGCGGGCCAAGACGGCCCCAAGACGGCCCAAGATGGCCCCAAGGGGGCCCAGCAAGGCCCCAAGAAGGCCCAAGACGGCCCCGAGAGGATCCCCAAGAGCGCCTCCAGAAGCCCAAAGATTTGGTCGTCCTATGCTTGTTTGAAGATTTCAGCGTTCCCGCCCATTTCGACTCTCTGAGGTCCAGGACGGCCTAAACAGCCTCCGAAGTGCCCCCCAGAAGGCCCAAGAAGCCTTCAAGAGGGCCCCAAAACGGCCCAAGAGGGCCCCAGGCAGCCCAAAGAGGCCGCCGAGATGCCCCAAGGGGCCCCCAAGACGGCCCAAGAGTACCCCAAGACAATCTCCGAAGGGACCAGACAGCGCAAGAGCGCCCCCAAGACGCCCACACGGGGCTCCGAGAGGCCCCTAAGAGGCCTCCCAGAGGTCCCCAAGAGGCCTCCCAGATGCCTCTGGGCCTCCAAGAAGTTCCCAGAGGCCCGACAACGACTGGACGGTACGTGCTCTGGACGTGCTCCCCGCGAAACGAAAGGAATCTTGCCTTCCGACAGCCCAGGCTGCGGTATGCAGGTGTACACCGCATCGAAGCAGATTGTGGGGGAGGAGGGGGGGTAAGAGAATGGAGGCCAACGAGGAGGAGGTGGAACCTGGGGAAGGTGCTCAGGTGAGGGCCAGAGAAGGGCACAAGAGGAGAGCAAAGAACGAGAGGGGAGAGGAGCAGCGAGGCAAACAGCCGCTCGACCTCCAGGATGTCTGGATCTGGAAAGATCACCACCTTCGGGGACTGCGACTCCACCCAGTCGCGCAACGCCGCCTCTGGGCTTGGGGGCGGCCCGAACAGGAGTTCAGGAAGAAGGGGAGAGGGGCGGTACGGCGGGTGCGTGGCGTGACGACCTCAAAGATAGCTTCTTTGTTTCCAAAGAGTTTTAACCTAACACATTCGAAACGTCCGTAAGCGAGTGGTGAACAAAGGTGCGCAGTACCCAGCAAAAACCACAGAGCAGCGGCCGCGCAGGAAGAAGAGGGGCGGGGACCATTCTGAGTGGGGGCGCCCTTGCGGACAACGAGTAGCAGTGCTAAGCCACTCCTCCCCCGCCAACACCGCGTGGATCGTACATGCACCCCTGAGCGATCTGCGGCAATTCGCTCTCCAGATCGTTCCATACCGCCCCACCTCGGAATTACAAGGCGGCGCTCCACCCTGATCGCCCGCGGCGGGGTCGCCGCCGCGTCCACACGACGCCAACATGCTGTAGCAGAGGTCACGCCTCAGGGAGATCATGTATATCCCACTGTCGTCGCGTGGCCCCCCCAGGCTCGGAGAGGACCGACATCAGAGTGCCCGCTCGAGACCCCCGGTCGCGCTCCTGAGCGGCTCCTCCCCAAGTCCGCCACCGTGCCGCTGGGCACGGAGTGGGCGTGCCCTCAGGTCCTTTGCCTCACCCTCTAGGCCGAAGTCTTCATTCCTGTGGAGTCCTTAAAGGGCCAAGGCCCCAACTTGCCAAATATTCTTGGGCTTGGCGCGGCTTGTGGGGGGCTTGGCGCGGCCTCTCGCATGATTTCTGGGGCCCCAGAGGGCCCGCCCCAAGAGGCCCCGAAACGCCTCAAGATCGCACCAAGGCGCCCAAGATGGCCCCAAGACGGCCCAAGAGGCCTCCGAGACGCCCAAGAGAGCCCCAAGAATCTTCCCAAGAGGGCCCCGAGAGGCCAACATCATTTATTTTCCGTGTGTTTCCGATGATTTGGGGGTCCTCTACTTTTCGAGCTTCCGACGCTCCAAGACGGCCCGAGAGCCCCCAGAACCGCCCCAAGACGGCCCAAGAAGCACCCAGGAGAGCTCCCACACGGCCCAAGAGGGCTCCAAGATGGCCCCAGAGGCGCCCAAGACGGCTCAAGAGGGCCCAAAGACAGCCCCAAGAAGGGCCCGAGAGGGGGAACACGAACCGAAAATCCGAGAGGCCCCCAGGAGGCCCCAGGAGGCCCCCAGGAGACCCCAAGCCGCAAAAAGGCCCCCAAGAGGCCCCCGAGAGGCCTCCCGCGACATCCCCACGACTATCCTAGAGGCGTACGACCCGCAACTCAAGCACGGTGGCGGGTGGGCCGCACGTGGGGCTCGGCGCCCCCACGACGGAGCTCCCGAGGTGTGACGTCCTCGCAATCTCTGTCGACCCACACTCCAAAGGTGCTGCCGGCAGAGACGCCCTCGGACAAGCGACCGATAGCGCACGCCGAAGGGGACACTCACTGACGCCGACAGTGCCATCCTGGAGCCCGTGCTTGCGGAATCCATGCTGGTCAAGTGCGCGTGTCATGGATAAGACCCAAGCGATTGGCTATCCGGACCCAAGCTGCAGATGCTGCACAGGCTAAGTAACTTGCTCTCGTTTCTCCTTCAGTTCGTCTCCCTCCTGTGCCTGCAACCACGCCCTCTTTTACGCCAACCTTGCGCTAACCTCCCCCTTCCCCCTCCTCCTCCTCCTCCTCCTCCTCCTCCTCCTCCTCCTCCGCGTTCTTCTCATAGCCTCTTCCTTGCGCGTCCTGCCTCCGTCTGAATTTATCCCTGCTCAAATGTGTCCCCTCCTCTTCTCTCAACTCTCCTCTCCTCAACCTCCCCCTCTCCTCCCACATCCCCTTCTTTCCCTCATGACCCAAATGGCCCTCCTGCCCTATCCGATATTTGCCTATTTCCCCTCCGCTCCTCCCACTAATCTTCCGTTCCTCCTCCCCCTCTGCTCCTCCTCCTCCTCCTCCTTCTCCTCTTGATCCTCCTCCTCCTCCTCCTCCACCACCTCGTCTTCCTCTTCCTCGTCCTGCCCCTCCTCCACCTCCTCCCCGTCCTGCTACGCTTCTCCTCTCCTTCCTCGTTACCCCCCCCCAGCAATCTCGCACTCGAGGGACCTGAAACATTGCAGCCGCGCCTCCGACAGCAGCAACTTCGCAATCAAGAGTGAGAGTGGGGAGAATCGCTACACGAGCAGGAACATGAGCAGGAATAGCAGGAGCAACATGCGGTGCAGAAGGAAGCGCAGGAGGAACTGGAGCATGATCGGTGGCAGGAACAGGAGGAAGGGAAGGAGCAGGAAGAGCAGGAGAAGCAGCAGCAGCAGCAGCAGCAGCAGCAGGAGCAGGAGCAGGAAGAGGCGCGCGAGAAGCAGGAGGGAGAGGCGCAGGAGTGGCAGGTTGGAGGAGGAGGGAACAGGAAGAACGATTCCGGGCTGGAGCGCCCGAGCTGGCGAGCGAGCCCGAGGGAGCGAACCTTTGACGCGCCTCTCTCCCGCGTGCGAGGGACAGGCCCTCCCCCTCCACCTCCCCCTCCACTGAAGGGGCCCTGGGACACACACACACACACATAAATACACACAGATAACAGGATTTCCCACATTTTTCCATATTGTCTTGGTTTTTGTCTTCCCCCCCACTTCCCATATTTCCCAATGTTTTCTGGGGCATCGACGATTAATAGTGTCTGTGTGTTTCTTTCCCTCCTGATCCTCCTCGGGGGGCGCCGTTCTGTGCTGTCTTCGACGCGCCCCCATGGCAGAAAAGGCTGGTCCTGGTGCGTCCAGCCTGCTGGGCCAGGAAACAAAGGGGGCGGCAGCAACAGCACCAGGAAGATCGGCAGAAGCGACAGCAACGGCCGCGGGAGAATGGGGACCACACTGTTCCACCCGGCTCGCGGTTCGCAACGGAGCGTGTACGCGTTGTCGCCCCTACACACGCCCACGGGGTGGACAAGGTCCCAGCGTGACTCCATGTCCAAGTCTGCACGCAGGGTGAGCAATGCGAGCCTGTTGTTGAACAAGCACGAGGGAAGTCATTGAAACACAAGTTTTCGATCTCGGTTGATTTTCGGGGGAGTACCACTGGGGTCTCTGGTGGAGCTCCGTATGGGGTGTGCTGACGCGGTCTCACCGCAAATTCTGCGATGACAGGAGAGGGGGAAGGGGAGGACGAGGGGGGAGGAGGGAGGAGGTGAGACGCAGGGCTGCAGACTTCAGGCGAAAACCCACACTCCAAGATGGCTGGAGGGAGAAATGGGGTCCCCCGTCATCCCTCTCAAGTATCGACCTGCGGTCCACGCGCGCGCGCGTCTCCGTGCGCGCATCTCGCAATCACCAGCTCCATCGTTTTTAGAAGCAGGTCAAGGCAGATCGTGCCGAACACTTCTAAGCAGACAGCTGGATTTCAATGACGGATTGCAAAAAAAACCCGAAGGATTGCAAAAAGGATTGCAAAAAAACGAAGGATTGCAAAACAACGATGGTTTTTTTGCAATCCTTCGTGTGTCAGGCTTCCGCCGGCATGATCATTATGTAGGATCGCTCGCACGCCCAAGTCGTGGGTCCTGCACGAGAAAGGTCGGCGCGCCGGTGCGCGAATCTGGCTGTGCAGAGGATTTCTGGTTGGTAGCTGTACTTACGGCCCCTCGAGTCTTGCCAGCTAGTCATGGATGGGTGGTAGGTTTGCTCGAGCATGTGAATTCAAGTCTTCACATTCTTCAGATGATGCGCCACCCCATACAGTGCATCATGCAGAACGCGCATCGGGAGCGCAATAACGAACTGCTTGGTGTCCTCGCTGGCAAGTGGCTATGTGTGGCTGCCTGTGTAACTAGATTGGCGAAGGCCCTCTGGCTGTTGCTATCCGTTGGGCCCGAGGCTGCTGTCGTCAATGCAAGTTTGGAGCAGAAGTAGTTCGCAGCTGAATCGATGTGGCTCAGTCGCCCAATTGAAACAAGGAGGGAGACGGGCTGTCGTTGCGGCTGTGGGGACCAACGGACAGAAGGCAAAGACTCGCAGGTCGGTGTGGTTGCCTGTTTAGCGTGCACGCGTTGGTGATTGTGAACGAATTGTCTGCTCAGTTGTTCGCTGCATGGTTGTCCACACTGCTCCCAATACTCCCCGTGCTTCGTCTGCTCCTCCCCGTGCTCTCCGGCTCCTACCCAGTCCTCCCCGTTCTCCCAGCCCTCCCCCTTCTCTTCCTCCGCCCCCCCGCCCTCCTGCTCCTCTTCCACCTCCTCCTCCTCGGCTGCGCCGCAAGACCCTGATTGTGGATGCCATGACAATGGACACTCTAACAATCCGATCGTTGAAGTAAACGTGTGTTTACAATGTGTGAAAACATGTTCTCAGCATGTTTCAAACATGTTGTCATAGACTTACAACATGTTCGACACATTCTTCTGACACCTGGAAACTTTTTGGCAACACGCTTCCTCTCCATTGATCGACTTGCACAAGACTCTGCGACATGCCACTCCCGGCCTCCCTGCCCCGCCCACCGCACGACCCCCGCCTTGACGGGCTCGCGCGCCTCGCCCGGGCGGGCCAGCACGTAGTGCACGACCAGTCGGTCTCCAGGGCCCCGGAGGGGATGGCGAGTAGGAGCGCGAGGAGGAGGAGGAGGTGGAGCGTACCAGAGGGGACAAGTCTCCGCTGACCTAACGACTGCTACTTGAACAGCTGCTGCTGCTACTACTCGACACACTCCCTCGAACAAAGAAAGAGGAAGCAAGCACTGGATTCGGGGCCCGTATCTGCCTGTACCTCCGCGCCTCAGAGGAGCAGGAGGAGGAGGAGGAGGAGGAGCATGGCAACGACGAGGGAACAATGGGCAGGAAAAGGCGGAACGATTCCCAAGATCGAACCTTTCGAGTGCGCAGCTGTCGCCGGAGCGAGAAATGACCGGCCTCATCAGCGCGAACGAGGTCCAAGCCATTTTTTTATGGTGCTGCTGAAGGAAGGGTGTGCCGAGAAACAAAGCAAATATCTCCATGATCCTCTGGGGTGCACCTGCGCCGGCCAGGGCAGGCGGTACCCCGACGAGGTGTCCTCCTCGATCTGGCCTCCTCGTTGTTCTTCCCCTCCTACTCCTCCAGGCCATTTCGCCCCTCTTCCTCCTGCTGCTTCTCCTTCCTCCTCTCCGTCTCTCCTCTCCCTCGTTCCTGCCGTTGTGATAAGGGGTTTTGCAAAAACATAGGGACGAACGACGACGGTCAAGAAAAATAACGCAGCCAGCTTCGATGTGTCGTGCGCTTGCTGACGCAAGATCTGGCTGTTCTGATTGCGCGCTGTCGATTAATCCGCCGCCGTGCCGCAATGTGTTCTCCGTCCTGAATCCCGTCTTCTAATATTCTAATGGGCTGGGCCCCCACATTCTTGGACTGTTCGGGCTCCAATGAGCAAAGCGGCGCTCAAGTAATTTGCATCAAAGCACACGCACTCCCTGCTCCCCTCATTCGCAAAGCGCTGCTGTGCTAATGGACCTCCAAAAAGGGTCCCATCCTGCTCGGGCTCTGATCTGATTAGCAGAGAGCCGGTCTGCAAATTGGCCTCAGAGAATGTGCGCGTTAAGTGCTCCTCCCCTCATTAGCAGAGCGCCGCTCTGCAATATTTGACTCAGAGCATGCGCACTCGCTGTTCATGCTTTATTTACACGAGGGCCCCAAAACGGCCAAACGGGCCCGAAAAAACGCCCAAGAGGGTCTGAGAGGTTTCCAAGACGGCCCACGAGCGCTCCAAGACGCCCAAGATGGCCCCAATACGGCCCAACAGGCCCCACAGAAGCCCCAAAAACGTTCCAAGAGGATCTCCGAAAGGGCCCCAATATGCAAGCATCATGTTTGTTCCTTGTGCGTTTCACTGTTTCTTCGCGTTCTCGTATTTTCGGGTTTTCGACGCTCCAAGATGGCCCCAGAACTCTCCAAGACCGCCCCAACACGGCCGAAGAGGCCCCCAAGAGGACCCCGAGACGGCCCAAGAGGGCCCCCAAACGGCCAAAGCGGCGTCCAAGGCGGCCCAAGAGAGCCCCACGACTGTCCCAAGAGGGGCGGCCCAAGAGGGAGAACACGAAACGACGTTTCGAGCCTTCCGTCCCAAGAAGCCCCCACGAGGCCCCAAGTGCCTCCAAGAGGCCCCAAAACCGCCAAAAAGGCCCCCAAAAGGCCCCACGAGGCCCCCAAGAGGCCCAAACAGAAGCCCCAAAAGGCCCCCAAACGGCCCTCAGGAGGCTTCAGAACTGCCTCCAAGAGGCCCCCGAGAGGCCCCCCACGATATCCCAACGAACATCCAAGAAGCCTCTAACCCACAACCCAAGCTCGGTGGCGGGATGGGCCGAAGGCCACTACATCCGCCGCCCCCTGTCGATTCATCGCAGGGGTGCCTGGCGTTCGAGACCCTTTCGGTTTTGGGTTTGGTTATTATTTACCAAAAAACCTCCCCCTGGGGTTTCGGCCCGTCCCGCTGGCCAACCGAAAGGTTGCCGAAATGTTGCCGGTTGCTGAAGGTTGTCGCGTCTAAGACGGCCAAAATTGCCCAAGATGGTCTCCAAGATGCGTCGAAGACGGCCAAAATGGCCTCCGAGACGGGTGAGGTGGCTCCAAGATGCCTCCAAGACGGCCCAAGATGCCCTCCAAGACGGCCAAGATGGCCCCAAGATGCCTCCAAAACGGGCCAAGAGGCCCCCACGAGGCCTCCAATGCGCCCAAGAGGCCTCCAAGAGGTCCTCCAGGAATGCCCGAGGAGCAAAAATCATGATTTTCCGTAGTTTGGTTTGTATGTTGATAAAAAACAACAAAGACGACAACAGCAACAATCAGTTTAATACTGTTCGCTCTTATATGCTCGCGTGTCATTCAATATGCATATCCCAAACCCTGGATACCCGCCCTCTTCGTGTTCGATCGTACCCCCTTTTGGGGGGTATCTTCATGTCCTTCCACGCGTGGTCGGTGAAGCCCTTGAATACGAAGGGTAACCAATAACGGGGGAGAACGAGGACGAAGAGACCGGAGGAAGAGAGGGGAGGGGCAAGAAGGAGGGAGGACGATGAGTTGCGCTGCGAGTGGCGGTTCAGCTTGCGCCATGGCTTGCGCCAGCCACTCCAACACAGGTTAACACTAAGTTTCGACATGGGTCGCGCGATAAACAGCGCCACGTACCACCCCCTTGAAAAAACATGTCGTGGATACCCCCACGGTGCCACGGGGGCACGTGCAGCGTCGAGGTGGTGTCAGAAACAAATCCCGTGGAACCATGAAAAGAAGCGGGATGTTGGGAGAGCGGGGCGGAAGGATCGTGAGAACTGCAACCGTGTCGAGAGGAGCGCTGGGAAGTGGAGTGGATTGGGATGGAGTGGACAAAAGTAGGGTCTCAGGAGGAGGAGCGGCAAGGAGTGGAGAAGAGGAACCGGGAGGAGTGCGGAGGGAATAACTTGGGAGGAATGCGAAATGCGAGCGGGAAGGGGTGGAGATTGTTGGGGTGGGATGGGGTGGCCTGGGGGGGACGGGGCGGAATGCGAAGAACTGAAGAATAGCACATTGGAGTACGAACGAAATGAAAATGAAGATCAAGGGAAAGAGTCAAGAAGACTGGGAAAGAACGTTGACAAGTGAACGCTGCCCTCTCGCTGCCACGAAGGGCAGCGAGAGGGCCACGAAGGGCGACAGCGGGGCTACGAAGGGCATGCGTATGGGGCCACGACGGGCGACTGCGAGCGGGGGCCACGAAGGGCATATAATGCGGGGCCACAATGGGCAGCGACGGGGCCACTGGGGGCAGCAACGGGGCCACGAAGGGCAGCGAGCGAAGGCGACCGCGGAACCAGTACGGGCAGCGAGGGGCATCGAAGGCGGGCGAAGGGCAGCGAGCGGCGACTGCAGTCCCAAACGGGCTGGTCGGGCGGGCATGCCCAGACAGGCGGGTCGAGCGGGCGGGTCGTTGAAGCGTACATTCTGCTTGAACCGCCAGGCAATATGTAGCGGGAGCGCGATTCCTGAGTGTCGAGGAGCGGCATCTGAATAAATTGTGAGCAAGTATTAAGCAGGAGCCGCGATTCGGTGATAAGTTGAGAAAGTCCCAAGCGGGAGCGCGATTCTTCCATACACTGTGAGGAAGTATCAGGCGGGAGCCGCGATCCGGTGGTAAATTGCAAGGAAGTCCAAAGCGAGAGAGCGCGATTCTTCAATAAATTGGGAGGAAGTATCCGGCGGGAGCCGTTGTTGTTGTAAACCGGCGGCCAACAACACAGTTTGACCCTCCAGACTTACCCTGATAAAAAAAAACCAGGTGCGTGCCCCGGGAAGGGCACTTCAATCGAAAAAACAATGTGCATCGAACGGGGGGGTCAACAATAATCATTCTTCAGAAATGAGAGTTCAACATCATCAACAACAACAACAACAACCACAACAACACCAACAGCAACAGCAACAGCAACAGCAACAGCAACAGCAACAGCAACAGCAACAGCAACAGCAACAGCAACAACAACAACAACAACAACAACAACAACAAAAAGGACTTTCGCATTTGCGCGTTTTGGGCTTTCCGTCGGCGCAAGACGGGCCAAGAGGCCCCCAAGGTCGCCCTAAGATCGTCCAAGAGGCCTCCAAGATGGCCCGGAGACGGCCCAAGAGGCCCTAAGACGGCCCAAAAAGAGCCCCAAGATGCTCAAGATACGGCCCTGGAGCACCCCAAGAAAGCCCCAAGTCGGCCAAGAGAGGCCCTCAAAACGGCTTCCGACGGCGTCAGGCGGGCCGCCAGGAGTACACCAAGACGGCCAAAGAGGCCCCCGAGAAGCCCCCGAAGGTGCAAGAGGCTCCCAGGAAGCTCCCAGGAGGCCCCAAGAGTGTCCCCAGAGGCTCCCAAGATGCCCCCCCTCCTCCTCCTCCTCCTCCTCCTCCTCCTCCTCCTCCTCCTCCTCCTCCTCCTCCTCCTCCTCCTCCTCCTCCTCCTCCTCCTCCTCCTCCTCCTCCTCCTCCTCCTCCTCCTCCTCCCTCCTCATCCTCCTCCTCCTCCTCCTCTCCTCCTCCGTCCTCCTCCTCCTCCTCCTCCCCTCCTCCTCCTCCTCCTCCTCCTCCTCCTCCTCCCCCTCCGCGGGCTGGAAGCCGTCGACCACCTTGAGCTCGGCGGGCGTTGCGGTGACGGATCTCCTCTCGTTGGTCCAGGGCCAAACCAAAATCGATTCGGATCTTAAGGAGGCGTCTGGGACCTCCAGCTCTAGGGGCCCTGGGACCGTCATCGAGCCCCTTCCCATCTTGTCGGCCGATTCGGTTCGTAAGGCCTCGCGGAAATATTCCCTGAGGACCGCTTGTGGGCTGGATGGATTTCATATGCGTCACTAGTCATGGATTAGTGATCAATGCTTGCAATCGTTTAGTATCACTATCGCCGTCATGGAGATGATTTCCACCCTCCCTGGCCCGCTCCAAGGCGTGCAGCTCGCGCTGCTCATGAAGCAGTCAGGAGGCTGGAGGCCCATCGGGTTTTTTGTTCGCTGCACCGATTGTGGGGCCGCTGTCGCCGTTCCTTCGCGCTCGAGTGGGAGCTCAGCCACCGGCGCAGTTTCTTTGCAG